AAACCGACAGTTTTAGGAGGCCAACCGCACTCTAGACTCTTGCTGCTGTGGACCTGGGCCACTTGGGCGTTTTCTCATCCTTTCTCCTAAGTAAACAAAGTAATTGCCATGGACTTCTGGGGAGATGCCCTAAAACTCTGGGGAGAATCGGACACGCGCAATCCCCTGGCTTGCTTCCACCTGCTTGCCCCTCTGCCGTCGACTAGATTGAGAGCCCACTTCTCGCCCCTGCGGATTCTGGGAAAGCAAGTAAATCCTCACGGGGTCCTGGGAGAGGTTGCAAGAAAGAGAGCGCTCTTTGGCTTACTTGTCTTTTCTGTCGGTTCAGTGCACAGTGGGCTGCGGCCCGGGTGGCCGGGAAAGCTCGCGATATATACAGGGAACCACCAGGTGGCGCCAGCGCCTCCGCAGAACTTCCTTGGCGGTGTGTTCATCCTGACGCCAGATCTCCCAGCTAGAAACCGTGGAGCTGAAAGAGAGTATTGATGACCTTTGTTAAGTATATTATTGACGATAGAATCTGCTTCCACGCTTTGGGAACATAGAAATGTTTGCTGAGTGACAGCAAACAGATTTGCAGCCAAGTAAAAATATGAATATTGATTTACTGTAGCCAATATCTTTTTTGTTGATTTTGTTTCTTTTGCAAAAATTAATTAAAACACACCCTCGTGGCCCAGGTTTCAGCCTAGTAGTAGATAGGTTTATAGGGAGTGACACTAGGGAAGTATGCTCACCATGGAATGGTCAATCATTCAAAATCAAAAGGGAAGCATATGCTTAAGTACAAAGTTGAGAAGGGATGGCAAGATGGGTGGAATGCAAATTGGAACCACCGGGAGGAAGCAGAATAACTGTTGTTGCATGGAGGAGATAGTAATCTTTGAGATGAAACAAAGTGTATGATTTGTTGAATGTAAAGCTAATGATTGTGTCTGCAAACCTTCGCTCAATTCACAATAAAAAGTTAAAAAACACAAAATGAATGAAAACATTTCTTCTAAATTGTTTAAGAAAATATAAAATGCAGACTTACTTTCAACACATTCCTTTTACTTTAAGATGTACTGTTAGTTTTTCAGAAGTAAAATAACAAATCATCTGCTTTTTGAAATCCAATTGAATATGCAGTTGAGAAACAGGCTGAGCTATGGGTAACTGAGATACCAACTCTTTCCAATGACAGAGAAAGCTGAAAATGCAAGGAGACTGCTCTTAGAAGCCAGTTGCTATTTCTCAGCATGTCCTTTACATATCTTAACTAGTCTTCGTGATAGTATTTATGTACCCACATAGTAGTTCAAGCTTCTTAGCCTTATGCTAAGGTAGGATTTTATATACTATCCTCTGTGGTTGTGTGTAGTCATCTAACTACTTCTGAGTTATAAGTGGAAATGTTATGGTCTCTTCTAGGCTGGAGCATGTGATTTGACCAGTGATCCTGTGGTCATGACTCATTCTTGCCCTACATTGTGATATGTGTCCCATGGTTAGATGCTGTGTTGTGTAGAATCCCATTTATGAGGAACAGGCATTCTGTCAGCCTCTAGAGCAGGGGTAGGGAACGTCTGGCCCTCAGGCCATATAAGGCCTGAGAAATCATTGGTCTGGCCCTACCAAGGCAACCGCAGTTCCAGCCTTTATATTGTTGTTGTTGTTAAATGCTGTTGAGTCAGGACTGAGTCATAACCACCTTATATCAGGTTTCCAAGGAACAGCTGGTGAGTTTAAACTGCCAACCTTGCAGTTCAAACTAACTTTTCGGTCCAGTGCTTATCCTTTCAGCCATCACATTGTTGTTGTCAGGTGCCATTGAATGAATTCCAACACAGGGATCCTGTAGAGGGTTTCTGAGGAGCAGCTGGTAGGTTTGAACTGCTGACCTTAAGGCTCGCAGTCCAGTGCTGATTCTATAATACCACACTAGGAGTCCAGTCATTACATTGTTATTGTTGTTAAGTTCCATCAAGTCAGTTCTGACCCATAGCAACCCTGTATAGGATTTCCAAGGAGTGACTGGTGAACTTGAACCTTGTGGTTCAAACCAACTTTGCAGTCCAGTGCATTAGCCCACAGCACCATCACATTTGTTGTTGTTGTAGTTGTTATGTGTCGTGGGGTCGGTTCCGACTCATAGCAACCCTGTACAGGGCTTCCGAGGCTGTAAATCTTTACGGGAGCAGAACGCCTCATCTTTCTCCCAAGGAACAGCTGGTAGTTTCAAACTGCTGACCCTGAGGTTTACAGCCTGATTCGTAACCACTACACTACCATCACATTAGGGATGAATTAATTAAATGTTTGACCAAATAGAGCAGGCTAATTTTTAAGTTGATAATTTTGCATGGCCTGCAAATGATGTTATAAATTTGGGGAGAGAAAAGTTTCCCACCCCTGTCTAGACAGTGGTGTTGTCTGAGGCCATGTGGGTAGGAAAGGCAAATTCACACTTAGAATATATGTCAATGCTTATGAGAAAAAAACTGCTTGCCCTTAATTAAGAGAAAGAAAAGACAAGCCACAGACTGAGAAGCTATTTGCAAAACACATATCTGATTAAAAGATTTGTATCCAAGTTGCAGGATATTGCACTGGACAGCAAGATTGATTTGAACTGCAAGGTCAGTGGTTCAAACTCACCAGCCCCTCCTTGGAAACCCTATACAGGGTCTTATGAGTCAGAACTGAGACAACAGCACTTAACAACAACTTCCAAGATATACAAAAACCTCTTAAAATGAGAATAAGGAAACAACGCAATTTTTTAAATGGGCAAAAGATCTAAACAGGTACCTTACCAAAGAAGATATATAGATGGCAAATAAGCATATGAAAAAGTACTCAACATCATTTATCATTAGAGAATCACGAGTTACAACAGCCATTTTAATTTGAGATACCACTACATACTTATGACCAGTACGAGTTGCTATGAAGTCAGTTTAGAATCAGGTCAACCTTATGTGAGTCAGAGTAGAACTGTGCTCTGCAGAGTTTTCCATGGCTGGGTTTTTAGAAGAGATTGTTAAGCTTTTTTTTTTCAAGGTGTCTCTGGGTGGAGTTGAGCCTCCAACTTTTCAGTTAGCAACTGAGCATGTTAATTGTTTGAACTATATCAGGACTTATACACAAATGGCTAAAATCCAAAAACACTGACAACACCAAACACTGTTGAGGATGTGGAGCAACCCATTCACTGCTGTTGGGAATGAAAAATGGTAGACATGCTGGAGGAAGTCTTAGTTTTTTACAAAATTAAACATAGGCTTGTCACACAAGCCGTCAATCATACTCCTAAGTATTTACTTAAATGAATTGAAAATTTATGTCCACACAAAAACCTGCAAATGAATGTTTATAGCAGCTTTCTTCATAATTGCTCCCAATATGAAAGCAACCAAGATGTCTTTCAACAGGTAATGGATAAGCTATAGGACATCCGTACAATGGAGTATTACTCAGTGATAAAAAGAAACAAGCAATGAAGCTACAAAAAGACATGGAGGAAACTCCAATGTATATTGCAAAGTGAAAGAAGCAAGTCTGGAAAATCTACATGCTATTACAATTCCAAGGAGTCCTGGTGTGGCTCTGTAGAATAGGCACTGATTCACAAGGTCGGTTTGAACCCTAAGATCTGTAGTTCAAACTCAGCAACTGCTCCAAGGGGACCCTATACAGGGTTGCTATGAGCTGGAATTGACTCAACTGCACTTAATAACAACAACAACATACAATTCCAAAAGAGCTCTAGTGGCATAATTTGAACCCACTAACTGCTCTGCAGGAGAGAGATGAGACTGTCTGCTCCTGTAAAGATTTGCAGTCTCAGAAACTCAAAGGGGCAGTTCTCCTCTGTGCTTTAAAGTTGCTATGAGTCAGAATTACTTGGCAGTGGGTTTGTTCTTTGGGGTATGTAATTCCAACTATATGACATTCTATAGAGAAAGTGAACATTCCAGTGGTTGCTGAGGGTTGAGGATGAGGGGGTGAGGGAAAAATAGGTGAGGCCTTTTAAGAGCAGTGAAACTATTCTGTATGATACTGGAATGATAGGCATATTGCTATAGATTTATGAAAACCCAAAGGACTGTACAACATAGAGCGAACTGTAATGTAAACTATGGACTTAATTGGCTCATCAATTTTATGAATATGTCACAATAACACAAAATGTTGAAGATAAGAAAATTGTGTGCAGGGATAATGGGAAGGGCATATGGGAACTTTGTACTTTCTGCAAAAGTTTTCTGTAAACCTAACCACCACACATCTGTGTTTGTTGTATACTGTGGTGGCTTGCATGTTGCTGTGATGCTGGAAGCTATGCCACCAATATTTTAAATACTAGCAAGGGCCACCCATGGTGGTGTAAAGAAAACAAAAATCTTCACAACTGGACCAATAAATAACATCATGATAAATGGAGACAAGATTGAAGTTGTCAAAGGCATAGAGTGGCTTTATCTAAGTGTGATGTTCTATGAAACTGTTTTTGTTTAACAGATCACCAAGGCCTAGATGATAGTTTCAGGCCAGTGTCTTGATGCCAGGGGCTATTTCTCCCTTTCTCTCTATGTATAAAGAAGATTACAGTATTATCTACTGCACACTAGGTAGGGCTTTTCATAGATCTAGAAAAATTTATGGCCAGAATTTTGACAAATACTATAGGTGATGGGCTTATGATATAGCCACAAAGAAGTCAACTTTCATTTTAGATAATAGCTGGAAGAGCATTTTCCAAAGCTTCTGGTATTTCTCTAGAGCTCTGGGTCCTTGCAATTGTAACATACTCTGTCATTGAATAATAGAGCTCAAACACTCATGAGTAAGCCAATGATCTCTGATGATCAGTCCTCTATTTGGTTATGGTTTAGATTCTTAAAGAATTCCTAGTACCAATGGATCTCAAATGCTAAGAAATGAGAAAAACAACACTTAATGTATTCAATTGTAATGAATTTGTGGTGACAATATCAGGTAATTTAAAGACTAAAATGATTTTACTTGGCAATAGAAGTAAAAAATTTTATTTTTTATTGTGACAATATGTCTGCAAGATCCCAAAATCTGGTTACTATTGCTCTTAGTGACATCAATCATTCAATAAAAAAAATTTTAGAGGGTATAAAATAAATGTACTCTTTCTTTTTGTGTGTGTGTGAATGATCTCATTGAATTATTTTTGTTTACAATTAAAACTCTGGGGATTCAAAATTAGCACCCTTGCCCCAGAACTTCTTATACACACCCACAAAGGTTTCAGCCTTGTATTTGTTCTACATTGTTCTGCTGTGCTTTGTCCAAATGAGCCTTTATAAACCACTGCCATCCAGCTTTACTCAGATTCTCTTGCCCACAGTTTCTCTTGGACAGACCAAGTCTTCAAGGATTACATCAGGCACAGCTGTCAACAGTGTGGCTCCTGGGAAGCTTTTGCTTATTTTTTGTATGGCTTTTTGAAGTTGGTTTAGGCAGAGTTCTCCTCTGAGCAATAAAGACCACATGCTTTCTGCTGAACGTTTTCTCCAGTTCATGTACTAGTCAGACTTGGATATTCTGGAAAGACTAAAATTGAGGAATAGGAACAAAGATTCTAATAGTTTTCTAACCACCACCAACTTCAGTTCCCTTGGTTGCAGGTATGTCCAACTCTCTTAAGTGAGCCTTTAGGTTAAGAAGAGCCTGAGAAATGCCAGACTCAAATTCATCTGGCTTTTCACCATTGGGCTTCACAATCTTTGCGTTTGAACTGAACATGGGCTTTTTCTTGCTGAGCGCTGGCCTAGGAAGAGCTTACTCTTTCTTAAAGAACATACAATTTACTGTGGAGAGTGAAAAAATACACAGCAAATAAGTACTAAACTATAGGATGAATTAAAGAAATACTTATCCTCTCTTTCAATCATTAAAAATGACAAAAAGAAACAAGAATAAATTAGAGGAAAGAATGAAATAAAACCCAGAAGTGAACACAAATAAGAAACCCCACTGAATTCCAAAAAGTGTCAGAAATTGAAGCACTCAGTATAGAGAAATGTAGAGGCTTGTTGAGTGCTTGTTGGTGCCAACACATAGCGACCCTGTATAGGATTTCCGAAGTTGTAAATCTTTGTGGAAGTAGAGAGCCTCATCTTTCTCTTGCAGAGCAAGCAGCTGATTGGCTCTAACCACCGACCTTGTGGTTCATAGCCCAGTGCTTATTCTCTAGAACCACTGCAGTGAGCTCTTAAAATAGGGAGATTAATTGAAAGCCTGGATAATGCTAATCTCCAGGTCCATTTCTTCACCCTTCACAATAAAAGGAATTTCTTTCCCTTGTCCCTCACGCCCTTATGAATGCTGCACATAGAGTGGGTTTCCTTTCAAGCTGGTGACTGGGGAACCCACCCTTTTATAGCAAACTGTAAGCAAGCCTGCTCTTATTCCTCAAGGCTGCTCACTGTAAACACAGCCTTGAGAAGTAGCCCACATGAAGAGCAGTCAAGGACTTCTGTTCTTGGCACAACCAGTTAAGATGTGCTGAGATGTTCAGGGCACACGGTGGATTGCCTTCCCAGCACATCTACCTAATTGGAAAACCTGAGCAGTAACACCTAATTTTAAGGGTTGTTGAAAGATAAAATGTGAAAATCTGTAAGAAAGAAATAGGATGAGCTAAAATTCAAAGCATATATTGAAGCAACATGTGGAAGTACTGTGTGCTGGTTTTGTTGGAGAAAATCCCCACATGCTTGGGTTTTATAGGTAGAAAAAAATGGAGCTCAGGGTATTTTTAGCAGATACATAGGCACACTCATTTTATTGCACTTGGCTTTATTGTGCTTTGCAGATATGAGTGCTTTACAAATTAAAGGTTTGTGTCAACTCTACCTCAGCAAGTCTGTCAATGCCATTTTCCTAACAGCATGTGCACACTTAGTGTCTCTGTATCACATTTTGATAATTCTCACAGTATTTCAACCTTTTCCATAAGGCTATTACATATGTACAGTATAGTATAAACATAATTTTTATATGCACTAGGAAATTAAAAAACAAGCTCCAAGACTCACTTTATTGAAGTATTTGCCTTATTGGGGTAGTCTGGAACCCACAATATCTCCAGGGTATGCCTGTACCAAATATCGAAAGGATATTGGGTTGCAGGAGTCCTGATGTGGTGCTGTAGGAGAAGCACTAGACTGTTAACACAAGGTCAGTGGTTCAAACCCACCAGTTGCTCCTTGGAAATCTTATACAAGGTCATTATGAGTTGAAATCCACTCAGCTGCACTTAATAACAAGGACCTCCCACTTATTCTGGGTTTTCTTTTTGAATATTGAATTATGTCTGATTGTGGCCTGATATTGTCTTGATGAAGCCAAGCGGAGGAGGCACATGGCATGGCTGACACCTTTTCATTCATCAGATCTTAGCCTTAGAGGTAACTTTTCAGAAAAGCTGTCCTAGGTAAATCTTTCTCAAGTAGTAGCAGAAGACCCCCTCTCTTATTTTCTCACATCATCCAACTTTGAATGTGGATGCCACTTGTTTCCGTTTCATATTCCTCAAGCTAGAGTTCTCTATAACCAAACCCCAAAATTAACCAAAGCCACTGCCCTCAAATTGATTCCTGTATAGGGTTTCTGAGGTTGTAAATCTTTATGGAAGCAGCCAGCCTCATCTTTTTCCCACAGAGCCGCTACTGGGTTTGAACCACTGATCTTGTGGTTAGCAGTCCAGTGCTTATCCTACAAAGTAGCAAATAAAATATCTTGTCTTCAAACCAGAGCCAGCATGGGAAATCCTTGTATTTTAAGCTAGTTATAAGTTAGTACTCATCTAGAAACTCAGAAGAATAAATATTTGGAAGCTAGTGCTGGAGTTTTCTGATATACTGTCCCTCCCAATGAAGTCTCTCCTTGTAGTGCCATAGTTGGAGATCTGGGTTTAACTCATTAAAGAAAGTAGCAGTTTCATTCTGTTTTCCTAAAGAGAAGGAGACTGGGACAGTCAGGACCTGTCGTGTCTCTGGATAGAGAGAAGTTTGGATATAGCCTTAAATGAAAGGTAGAGAAAAATGCACCCATTTCTCCTGGTGAGTTGCTCCTTTGTATCTCTCTCTCTGTGAGATGTGTAGAAGCATTCCCTGCTCATACCCAAAGTGGGAAAGCAAGGAAGCAACTAACTGTCCAGAGCACCAGAGCTGTGAACTCTCTTTCTAATCCAGCCTCTAAGAAGTCAGTCTTTGTTTTTCCTTCTTTTTTTTTTTAATATTCTCTTCCATCTTGTTTCCCTTATATTCATTCTCTCTCTCTTTAGTTCTATCCTTATTTTTATCTTTGTTTTAATCTCTTGAGCATTTGAATACACTTACATTTTTACCCTGCCCCCAGAAATGTATTACTTCTTAAGCTACCTGTTGGGATAACCAGGTTAGACTTATCTTCTAAATTTTATAAATCTCACTTTAAATCATCCCTAAATAACAAGTTTATCTAAGTTGAAGTCAGCTCATTTGGTTCATGTTTAAAAGTTAATCAAATGCCATGGGACCTGTCGTTCTAGTGTCTTTCAAGTTTTGGTTGGTTGTGTCCTGCTACACAGAGAGGAAGAGGTGGAGACTCTCCAGATTTATGGCAACTCATTGGGTTCCACTATTGCTGCTCTGTCTCCTGGTCTCTCCTTTCTTGTGCATTCTTCCTCTTGTTCCTGACACTCTGGCTCTTCTAGATACGTGTTTTGTTGATGGTAAGAAGCTACCTTTTTCCAATAGCGAGAAGCCAAAGAGATTTCTAAATTCCACTTTTTCATCCTTTGGAGTTCCTTCCATGTTATTACAAAAAGAAAAGTGTCCACCAAAAATATTATTCCCACTGCTAGACAGAAAAATACATGAAACCAGACAGAAATCGATGATGACTGTGGACCTGAAACAGAAACAGAAAAAGACAAGGGTAAGAGATTCTACTTAGAAACTAGAGGAGTACCAGCTGAGATGTTTGGAAGAGAAGGTTGACTGAGACTTCCTGATATATTAGCCCCCAATGGAGATGCTGATAATTTCATGGGACAAAAAGGAGGTAGCTCTTGGTGGGCTATATATATGCTGTTTTGATGAGAGGGCAGACTCCTTGAAAGAGTTTAATTGACAGAACCCAGTGAATAGACTTATTAACTAGTTTCAGCGACAGTTGCTATCTTTATACCATTAAATACTTGAACTGAATTTGACCTCTTTGAATAAAGTTTTTGTTCTGGAGCTCACACTCCCTTCACCTTGGTTAAAAACACTTGCAATGTGTGCCATCATGATCTCATCAACTCACCAGCTAGGATCCTCAAAGCAAGGACTGCACATAGTGTCTTTATTTCCTTAGATGCAGTAGATAGAAGAAACTCAATATATTATTGATGAAGGAGAAGGAGAGGGAAAGAGAGAAAAAAGAAGAAAAGAAGGGAGAGAAGGAGAGAGATAAGAGAGAGAAAATAAAAAAGAGGAAAAGGGAAGAGGGAAAAACAAATGGAGGGAAAAAAAGAAAGGAAATTTAAGGAAGTTTGTGAGAAGAGTGAAAGGCCCATTCATAATCTTCTCCTGAAGAGCCTTCTTTGTTGGGCCATGAAATCCCCTTGGGCAAACCTCAATCTCAAGGAAGAAAAGGGGTGTCTTCTCCTGTGTCAATTTCCATAATTCTCACTCACCAACCACTTGAAGTTCCAAGTCAGGGCTGCGCTTAATGATATTTTGGTCTTCTGTGGCTGCCTCACACCAGTATAACCCAGAATCTTCTCTTTTAGCAGTTGGTATCTGGTACTCAGAGGATGTGTTCTTGTCCTTCAGGATCTTGTTGCCCACATAGAAGGAGAAGTAAAGCTTCAAATCAGGTCTCTGTGAAAGCAACTTTGTTTCGCAGCTCAGGTTTACTGGATTCCCTTCTAGGAGAGGGAATGACAAGGATGCTTTCAGGACTGGAGCTGGAAATAGCTCTACGGAAAAAGTTGACAGGGGATAGGATTACCTGTGTCAACATCAGGGTTCTTCTTTGTAACAGATACCCTCCACTTTCAGGTAAACTTCTGCCCTGGAGAAGGCATCCATAAGATAGAATTTTTCCCATTACTAGTAAAGATGCATTTCTTGGGGTCTCTACATAATGACAATCTCCAGTTTACTCAAACCCTATTGGGGAGAATATTTCTACATAGTCCATGTCTCCCTAAATGTTTATGGTATATATCATATGATTTTCCCTTCTGACAGTGGTCAACCAGTTCAGTGACTTATTACTTGTGTTCCTGACTTAAAAAATAATCTGGGGGCAATCATTTCTTTCACACATGAATTAATTAAGAGATAGAAAAAATTTGCTAATGGTTGATGAGTATAGGAGGAAAGACCATGCAATAGAGAAATCTGAGACCACGTGCAAATTGGAACAGAGGAGAGAAGTAAAAGCAGAGAGGCCAAATTATCCTTAAAAGACAGAAAGTGTAGCCAATTCCTAATGTTTTCCTGGTTTCTAGTTCTAGTAACATGGGTTACTCTCTAATAACCTTTCTAGCTATCTTGAATTAATCTCTATTCCTTGTAACTAAAATAAAACTGGTGAAAGAAATCCTCACATTATTTGGCCTCAATCTTAGCACCTGGGATTACTGATGGGGTACTGTGGCATATTGGAAAAAGCAATGGACTGGAACCGAGAAAACCTCAGTTTGGGGCTTGACTTAGTCACTAGCCATTGTGTGGCCTTCAGTTAGGCCTTTTACCTCTCTGGAGCTCAGTTTTGTCACTTGCATATTGATTACATGATTTATGATGATCCTTCTAGTCCTTAAAATTATAACTCTATTAAGATACCATTACCTTTCACAATAATATGTACTCCTGCTGATGTGTACTGTTGCCTTCCCTTTACTGAGCAATGATAGATGCCATTGTGATCCAGGCTGGTTTTCGAAATGCTGATGTTAGGATTGAAATGAGAAAAGTTGAAAGCTTTGCCGTTTTGATAGAAAATTACTTTGGACAACCTGCTGTTCTTCCATCCATGACACCTCAAGGACAGATGATCTCCTTCAGTGAAGACTTGGCCTGACACCTGGAGTAGCAGCCAATCTGAAAAATGTGGGCACAGAATGTGTGTAGTTAGTAGAAGAGATACAAGTATCCCAAAGCTTGGCTCCAAAGGCTTCATCTTTTCCTCCTTGCAACATTTCAGCATCAGAGCTGAATCTGAGGCCTATTCCTCAAATATCTTTAGCTTTGGTGGGAAGAAAAGTAATCTTTTACCAGCAGCCAGGTATACAACCTCTTTTTATCTTCCTTTTCCATATCTCAAAAGTTGGTTGGGACAAAACCAGTTTACTCTAATGTGGTAGGCAGATTCTAAGGTACTCTTGAATGCGGACAGGATCTATGGCTTGCTTTTAGACAACAAAATATGACAAAGATGTTAAGATTTCACTCCTGTGATTATTATTACATAAGACTCTATCTTAACAGATTAGATTGAGAGAGTTTCCTGCTGAATGAAGAAGTGAGCTGCCATATTGTGACAGGTTACATTGCAGGGAACTACCAGGGTCTCTAGGAGCTGAGAGTAGCCCCTTATGGACAGCCAGCAAAACAGTGGGGACCTCAATCCTGTAATTGAAAATAACTGAATTCTGTTAATGACCACATGAGCTTGGAAGAGCTCCAGAAAAGAACACAGCCTAGTTAGCACCTTGATTGCAGCCTTATGAAACCCTGAGTGGAGCATTCAGTTGAGCTGTGCCTGGACTCCTGATCCATGAAACGGTGAGATAATAAATGCATGTTATTTTAAAATGTAAAATTGGTGGTGATTTGTAACATATCAGTAGGAAACGAATGAATTCTAATTCCTGACAGATTTGATAATGGGATACTCATTCTAAAATAAACAAATAGAATTGCAAGCATCTCCAGATGTGAATACCACACTAAATTGATAGTAATATGCAGATATATGCAGATCAGTGATACAGTCAGTGAAAACAAGCTCCAAGTCAAAGCCCTCCATTTTGATGTACATTTCTACACATGCCTCCTCTACTTTTTCCTTCTCCAAGGGCAGTTGGTTTGGCTAAATAAGGATAAGGTTCCTAGAGAGTAAACAAAGGGAAGAGACAGTAGTTGTTTTTCTCCTGTAGCATCTATCTAAGAATGGAAGTCAAGTACATCAGTACTATTGTAGCATAATTTTTACAGACTTGGGTGAAGCCATATTGCCACAAAAAAAGGAACATGTGGTTTCCTCTACTAAAAATGTTCTCTGGCTTGTTCACCTAATGACTTTCTATTCAACACTCAAAATAGGTTCTGACTCATAGCGACCCTATTTAGGGTTTCCAAGACTGTAAATCTTTCCAGGAGCAGAAGGCCTCATCTTTCTCCTGCAGAGTGCCTGATGAACTGGAACTACTGATCTTGTAGCCAGCAGCCAAACATGTCGTAACCCACTATGCCACAAGGGGTTCTGACTATATATATATTTCTGACTCATTCTCTCTCTATATATATGTATGTATGTATGTATGTATATAGTAGTTACACATATATGGTATATATATATGGATGGTACACATACATATACACTATACGGTATATAGTAGTTACGAGTTGGACTGCTAACCTCAAGGTCAGCAGTTCAAGTTACACAGGAGAAAGATGAGGCTATGCAGGGTCACTATGAGTCAGAACCGACTCCACAGCACATGACTACCACTACCAATATATATATATATATGTGTGTGTGTGTATGTGTGTGTCTGTGTGTGTCTGTGTGTGTGTGTATATATATATATGTTAGCATATATATATATATATATATATGTTAGCATATATATATATGTTAAGTGCCATTGAGTACGTTCCAACCCATAGCAACCCTGTATAGGGTTTCTGAGGAGCAGCCGGTGAGCTTGAACCGCCGACCTTGCAGTTCAAATGGCTTTGCAGTCTGGAGCATTAACCCATAGCACCACACCAGGACTCCATATATATA